CATATTTAATCATGACAATTGACATTTGAATTGATGCTGTCAACGAGCGCCATTTTGAAATTGATTAAACATATGCATCATTGGAAAAGTCCAAATGTTAACCACTAGATGGCGCCACACAGCTTCATAATAGTAATAAGTTATATATTATACTCTCTATAATTTAAAACTCAAGGGACTAGAGGTAAAAGTCAAATTACCAAGAGTTCAAAATAACAAACCACGAGGGGCAGGGGCGACTCGAGTAAATAAGAGTTTGAATAAAATTCGTGATTTTTTATTTCGATATTATTACTAGTTCCCTCGCGAACTTCGTTTTTCCTTAATGTGATTTTACTTAGCCTGCCTTTTTAGTACATACCAACATGGAACATTTTGCTATGCTACCCCAGAGACTATTCGGTTTTCTGGAATGAAAACTTTTAGTTTTTCTGTGAATTTTTCTCTATATAAACCTCAGAGTTCAAGTCATAAGATTAAAATTAATAAAAAAAGGGGTTGATCGTAGAGAGGTGAAAATTAAGGGTTATAAATTTTGTCTACAAAATAAAAAAATGTTTTTTGGAGTGGACACCCTATCACTTAGGGGTTTGAAATATAGATAGTAGCCGATTCTCAGACTTACTGAATATGCATAAAAAATTTCATAAGAATCATTCGAGTCGTTTCAGAGGAGTATGGGAACGAACTTTGTGACACGAGAATTTTATATATATAGAGATGTATTAACAATTCAATACAATAATACCATTATTTAATGGTATAAATTATATATTATAATCAATTTAAGAAATCTTTTTTTTAGTCTATCATTGTCATGATGACATTAACAATACTTATTAACGTTTGAAAGAAGACTAGAAAGCGAACTTACCCATATCTAATTTATGTACACAATTGACACATAACAAATTATAGAGAGTACCTACTTCAAATTATCGCATGTTGGCGAACAAGAAACTATTCCTTCAAGATCAAATTCTCTATAAGAATCCCTCCATCGTATGCGACAAGATACTTACAATTGTTCCATGTGCGTGGGTTTTATCTAACTATGACACTAATTATTATGATGTTGGTATTTTCCACCTCACCAAAGAGGATGTGAGGAAATATTTGAAAGGTGGGAAGACTTTGACTTTGTTTAGCAGTAACAATTTAGTTTCTTTGAAATATTTCTTTGAAATATTAAGTATTATAAATAAAAAAAAAATAAAAAAAAATTACAGTTTTCTTTTTTTTTCCTTGTTGTCTATTAATGTACTTAAACATATGTATTCTGTTTTATATAATATTGTTTATCTATGTAATCCGTTTTGGCTTTGTATATTGTCTAAGTGTTTTATTTTATAATAAGTAATTTCGCTATAAGACTACAAAACATTGACTTTATTCAATTTATCGAGTATTTTTAAACCGGAAAGTAAAGTAGTGTAAAGTTCTGGAAAGTCGAAAATAATATTAACAATAACGCGTAATTCAATCCCCGCCCCGTATCGTAACGTGTTACAAAAGGAGAAAAAAATTCGTTACGCAATACTTGAACGCTCCCTTCAACGTGGGACTCTCATTCCTGAGGTCGTATGTTTGATATGGAGAGCAGTGTTATCTGTGGCAGCAACTCTTATCACTGAAGTCGTAGATTCGAGCCACGGCTGTGCACCAATGGACTTTCTTTCTATGTGCTCATTTAACATTCGCTCGGACGGTGAAGGAAAACATTGTGAGGAAATCGGCTTGCCTTAGAACCAAAGTTGACAGCGTGTGTCAGGCACAGGAGGCTGATCACCTACTAGCCTATTAGATTGACAAAAGATCTTAAAACATATACAGAAATCTATGGCTCAGCCATAAAAAGTTGTATGCCACTGGTTTATTTTTTTTAACTAAAAATAATCAGACTTTTATGTTTTATTGGAAGTAAATTAATAAAATATGTAACTAATGAAAATATTTATTGCTTAAATGATTACAACAAAGTAACGATATCTTATTTAGCTTATAAACTAAGATTATATAGGCATCATACAAAACACATTTTCTCTAGAAATAATTTAACATCACTTATTACGTATTAAAATAAATAGTCGCACATCTTGCATACATTTTATTAATATATTATATTATCATTTATTTTACGTTTCATATATCGCTTGCCCCGAGGAACTAAGTCGTAAAGCACTCTTGTAACTGTTTTAGGCTTTTTGTTAATTTTTCACTTTAATAATAACTGTTAGTTTTTTTTAGAATATTTGCAAAACATTTTACTATAAAAAAAACAGAGGATGTCTTTATTCTACGGAAACTATTTTGAGCACAATGTTAAAACTCGATTACCTAAAATAACTTTTTTAGGTTCGAGTTTTAGTTTAGATTGTGATTCTACTAAATAATCATATAAGTTAATGCGACAGTTGAAAAACAAATAAAGAGTGGTAATGATATATCTCTGTTTCACCAACGTCATAATATTTCCGCGAAAAGAGTGGTAATACATTATTACCTTCTAGACATTTGTCTAAATGTGCCGTGCCACATTAGTGTGGACTGTGTCGTCCGTAATTATGTTTAAACAGTGAAACAATCTTAAAGCGCATATTTTGCTCTTCAGTCTAATTAGATACATTACTGTATTATACATTTATTTTTTTAAACTATTTACACTAAATACATAACAGCAATATTTAAATAGTCAAAAAGGAAAAAATAGCTTTCATTTGCTATATATTTGTATATGTAATATACTTATTAACCTAGTAATAATAGTATTACCTCCGTATATTTGTCCTGAAAAAACTGGATTTTGCTTTTACGACTTAGATCCCCGGGACAAGCGATATAATTCCAATTATAGAGTTAGGTCCAAAAATGTTAATGCTTACAAAATTATATCAAATCAAAATCCTTATTTGAAGTCCTAATTCTTTATTTACGTATTAAATCAAAAGTTTTGTAATTATACAAAGACAGTTTTCCTTTTTCTTAATTCCAATACAATTTTGATATATGGGAGTTTCACTTAGCGTGAAGTCCCGACTCTGAGGGTAAGATTCAGAAACGAGACATAGCGGGAACTCCATATTATGTCAAAATCATATTTGACGTTCGGAAGTCAAACTTAGTGCTAAGATTTGTTTTTAAATCTTCCCCTTGACTAATCGAAGACTGAGTTGCTCATCTTAGAAATCAAATAATTTAACAATAGACATTATTAATGGACAAAGTGTATCTGTTTACATAAGGATAATTTATAAATAGCGAGGGAATATAATCTTAGGTCTTATAATGTAAAAAAATGGCATTTAAATAAATACTGAACATAAAATAATCTAAATCAATCACAATATAAATTAACCTATTTATTAGCACAATATTTAATTATATAAAGGCGTAGGCCTTCATTTTTAATAATAATAATTTTAAAAAAAGTTTAAATTTTATCTAAATCTTGGAATAACAACCAATCTAGTTCCAAAACCGCCGATAGCCCATCGGATACTACGCGTTCATTGTTTAGGGCCTCTTGTCGAGTTAAATTGTTAGGGAGGCTTGGAATCAAATCATATAATTGGAATCTTAAATTAAAATAACTTGAGTGGTAATCAAATGATGATTTTTGATATAGAACAGGGGGCAAATGGGCGGATTCACCTTATGTTAAGTGATACCGCCGCCCGCAATATCAGCGGGCTCACGTGTGCGTTTCGCCCTTTTAAGAATTGGTACGCTCCTTTCTTGCAGGACCCTAAGTCGAATTGGTTCGGAAATACGTCTAAAAAACGCTCAGTTGTGGAACGACGTCGAATTCGGTGGAATTTCGTATTACATACATACATTCTGGCTCGACGCCGATGATGAATCTCAGCTGCAGGTAATCCGAACAATTCATCTGAACACTCTCCATGGTAAATACGGTAGAAGATGCACAGTGACCCGACATCTCTACACAACGCCAAAAATTATAGCGCGTTTCATTCTCTTTGATAAATCACAAGCAAAACGCGGTATTGTTGTGTTTTGTTTAACATTCTCCCATTTTCAACCAACTATTCTAATCTATCACAGTCGTTTAAGGTACAATTTTAAACTGTATTGTTCTATAAAAAATACTGTATTTTAAACCAATTTTATCTTATCTGTATAAAAAGTCGTGTTTATTTGCTAACTTATGATCGGTGAGAAAAGAAGATCTTGAATATGTCGAGGGAATTATTGGCTACTTTATACGTTTCGGCCACGAGGCAAAGAAATTAATTAGCTGAGAAAAATTAAGGCTGTAGCCTGTAAAATTTCAATGATGACATGTTTGACAAATTTATTAATAATCCTATTTATTAATAAACATATTTGATTTATAAACCAGAAAAACGGTCCAATTGGAAGAAGAAAGTGCTGTTTCATCAAGGCAATGCATCGTCACAAATCAAAGAAATCAATGGCACAATTCAACGAATCGGGTATCGAATTGCTTCCATACCGTATTCTCCAGATTTGGCCCCCAGCGACTTTATCCTGTTCTCAGACCTCTATAGAATGCTCGCATAACAGAAATTTTGTGCTGATGAAGAGATAATCGCCGAAACTGAAGCCTGTTTTGAAGCCAAAGACAAATCGTACTATAAACATTGTATCGATTGTATGACCGCTATAATCGTTGTATCGAATCAAATTCTTTAAAAAAAAATATTTTTTCTATACTTCGAATTTTTAAGCCCGTATACTTGTACCTAGTTTTCCATTATGACATCATGTGACATAACACATTTCAGCATTCCCACAGCTTATTCCTTTCTCTCTAAAATATTTAATTGTCACAGGAGATAATATCAAAGGATAATTGAGCTAAACATATGATGGTCTATGGACGTTAATTTAAAATTATTAAACAAAAGAAAATACACTTCACCAGATTTGAACTATTATAATAGGTATAACAAATTTACAATCATAATTAAAACGCGCTTAAATCAATAAAGTGTATTTTCTTAAATGTTTCCTAATTAATGCCAGGTAAAAACACAATGACACAAAAGTAAATACGCTGTAGCCACAATAAGATGGCCGATCATAACCGGAAATCCGATCTTGAAGAATTGAACGAATGAAATCTTGTACCCGTGTTGCTCGGCCACTCCTGCGCATACTACATTCGCGCTTGCGCCGATTAGGGTCCCGTTTCCTGAAATTACACAACACTTTAATTTATTTTAGTTTTTTTTCGTATCGGAAGAAATAAATAAAGAACTGATTACAAAAATAATTAGTTAGCTGGTCGACTCTAAGTTACATTGAGCAACTACGGGATTTCACTTTGATTCAACCTAAATAAAAATGTAATTCCCTCTTCACCAGTTTACATAATATGTATAATATAATTGTACAGGACTCCACTGTATATATACTGGAGTATAACTTAAAACAGGAGCCAAAATATCGTGTCTTGATTGTAATTAGTCAACCACATCCCGAACCAATGACAAACGACTCGTTTTTCCATTTCCAATAAACAAACGAAATGTTATTTCCTTTTTTTAGAGCTTATGTATTCGTCAAGGTCAATCATTCTTCAAATCTCGTCAAACTCACCCCCCAGACAGGCGCCAAACGACAACGCCCAGATGAGAGGCTGTATGGGCAGATTCAGTGTCGGATTGGATCCTAAAGCAGTCACAACTCGTACCATCATCGTTGTCAGTGGTATGTTATCAACAAACGCTGATGAGACACCCGATACCTGGAATAAGGAGGAGAATATCATAGGAGAACCGGCAGATGGATATATTTAACAATAGGTATACCTACCGTAAGAGAGACAACGGAATTCAGTATACGTGATTTAAATAATCTTTTTGTGTCAAATATTATAAGTATTATGAAGTAATACAAGCTAGCCCTCTTACGAAATTCAGTTTTCAATATCTTAACCAAAATGGGGTCCTTGCTGAAGATGAGCAAGTTTTGAAATAAAAAGAAGAATTTATTTCTAATAAATAGATTAAGATTAAGATAGAAAATAGTGTAAAGCATAAAACTAAAATAAAGGCTTTTATATTACATATAATTTGATAATACAGTGCTAACTTAATACAAAATTATCAATTGATATATATGTATATGTATATATATCTTTTATTCGAATTAAATAAATTTATTCGAATTTGAATATACCTGCTGTATCGGTAATTGGAAGTGTAATTTTTTTTTTAATTATATTCACCATAATTGTCATGTATATTAGAAAAGATAGCTTGTAACATATACTGTAGAAAATGCATTATATGATGTGGTGTAATTTAATAAATAAGTCTTACCCATAGCAGTAAAATCAATGCAACGGCCAGTCGTGATCCCTCATCAACTTTCAGAATAAGTGCTTCCGTCAAACCTCCGATAAATTCTATTAGCCCCAGCTTTGACAACGCCTGGAAAAAAAATAGTATTACGATAAATAGATCCATAGATAGATTTTCCGCTATTTAAAGCACTCAAATGCGGCATCCATTTTACATTTATATAGTACACAAGACAATACAAAAAAAAACATAACAGTAAACAGTTCAGATTAAAATATTTACAAAAAGACTAACTATTTCTGCCAGTATAGGAACTGGCATGAATGTTAGGAATTAATGAATTTTACAGTGGTAAGTGCTCTATATGTACACTGTACATGCGGTTTCAAGTTTGATTGTTTGGGGAAAAGAATAAATTCCACGGCAGCAACATGACGCCAGCCGTGTCTTATTTTATTTTTTACATTAGAACTTTGTTAGTCTATCGATACCACTTTCAAGCTACAAAAAATTAAGTTAAAAAGATGATGATGGCAGACTTTCTACAATCATACCTCCATTAGCACAAAAAGAGCAGCGAAGAACAGAAGCGTGGACCATTCAACTCTATGCAGTATCGGCTCCAGGTCCTCTCGATCTGCCAGCGTGAGAAGCAATATGGCACCAAGGAGTGCTGTCCAGCCTAGGGACACCCTGTCTGTAACATACATAAATCTAAATTAAGCTACTCCACCTGAACGCAGAAGGCTGATTATACATTTTCGCAAAAGGGAGAGAAATTAACTAGACAAAGTCCTGTAAAATTGGACATGTAATGGTAACCACTTACTACCCGACCCGTAATCGGGGTTTGTTTCACGTTCCTCACATCAACATCAACTATGCAAAAAACTTAGTTGTGTGTCGCGCAACCCTGCGATTCTGTAACTCACTTTTCGAACTCACACAGCGGTTTTCGCATCGGCGGTCGCTCTCAAATCAGTCGTGAAGCAGTCATTTTATGATTTGGCATTCTGAAAAGGTGGGAGCTTGTAGTTTATTTTTTATCAGAATGCCAAATCATAAAATGACTGCTTCACGACTGATTTGAGAGCGACCGCCGATGCGAAAACCGCTGTGTGAGTTCGAAAAGTGAGTTACAGAATCGCAAAGCTGCTCGGACATACAGCAACAACACAACAAGCCTCGAAGCGTAATATGCTTATGGTACTAATAATTCCCATAGCCGTAAATGACCTGCATGAGCACACTCCCACCATTACACAGCCGAATTAGGTTTTAGTAAGTTAAATGTATTAAATATTTTTTATTGATTTGTTCCTTTCGTAAATGTTCGAACTTGGCTATATCCTTAGTATTAGTTTTTTGTTTTATTTTAGCTGTAGGATTACGAAATAAATAAAAAGTAAAAAATAGTAATATCTTTATTTATATATTTTTTGCCTGCGTGTGGGTTGCGCCTGGTTTAGATTTACAAATCATCCCAGCAGACGGCGCTGCAGTTGGTACTTTCATACTTTGTTTAGTATCCTAATTGCTTGAAATATCATTCAGGACCTCGGGTCCTCTAGTAAATATGTAGAAACAGGAAGTATTCCACTCTCACTTCTCATCACAAGTTAATATAGACTTACTTAGTTCTGGTATGGAGTGCAGGAAGAAGACAACCACGACGAAAGTGATAGCAAATGTTGCCTTCAGCAGGAGTGGCTTGTCACGAATTTTGTACTGAAAAACAAAATAAGTACACCTTCATCAGCAGCAGCATACATTATCTCTCTAATCTCCTAATATAGCAGTGTTGGCCTAGGCTTACAGCGTGCGAATTTCATCCATGAGGTCTTAGGTTCGATCCCCGTCTGTGCACCAATGGATCTATGCGCGCATTTAACACTTGCTTGAACGTATAAGAAAACCGTCTTGCTTAAGACCCAAAAAGTCGACGGCGTGTGTCACAGGAGGCTGATCACCTACTTGCCTATTAGATTGACAAATGACCATGAAACATACAGAAATCTGAGGCCCAGACCTAAAAACGTTGTAGTGCCACTGATTTTTAATCTCCTAAGATGTCAGATTTTAAATGTACCAGCGCTATTTATGTATGTTACGCCATGGCTATCAAACTATTTAATCACCTTCCCAGAAGTTGTAGATCACTGCCGTGTAATGCTCTCAAGGGGAATGTGATTAGATTTTTAAAGGCAAGGTGCTTTAATAATTTGGGAGAGTATTTAGACCATAAGTTTTGACAATTATTATAAATAAGTTAACTTATTATTATGACATTGTATTTAAACGCCTATTTTTATATGGCTGATTGCGTATTTTTTTAAATAATTAATCAATCTGAATGTATATGTGTAACTTTCTTTGCAAATAAACGATTTATTATTACTACTATTACTTTAAAAATGTGCAAAATGTATATTTTATTAAAATTTCCGTATTGTTCTTGTCCTGAACGAATTAGTTAAGGTATAACTGACGTTACTTGAAAGGATTTCTATCGAATTAAGAAGTTATTTGGTTTGGCACGAAAGGCACCTTACTTAGAAAAATTTAAGAAAATACGCTTGACCGCTAATTTAATTCATAAATATATTACTTGCTGAATTTTCTATCTTTCTCTATCTATTTTGTAAGAGTACTTAATTACCTTATCCTTAAGTTGTGTCAGGGTTGTATGGAAGGTATCCTTGGGACAGACTCTCTTACTGCTCTCTTTTATCATCACCTCCAGTTGAGCGTTCAGCTTCCGCATCTTTCTTTCAAGTCTTTCTCTGACGACGTGCGTGTCTTTGCTCAGGTGAGGAAGAGATTCTATCGCCCTTCGCCATATAGATATTTGGTGGCGTAAATCTGAGAATTATAAATTTATTTTCCTTATTTTCTATTCTTAAAAAACTCTACGTTTTATGTTACGCGATAATTGCCTATGTTGTATTTTGAACTTGTTTTATTTATCTCCAACGACCTCTCTGAAGCTGGCAAACTGGCAGGCAAGATTCAAAATCAGTCCTCACCTTGTATCTCCCTTGGGACATTTAGTCTGAGCTTGCTCGTGTCCCTGTAGATGAATCGGAGCTGAAAGTACGTTTGTATGCAGACCAATAAAATACCCAGGGTCATATGCATCGTGAAGTTCGTGAAGTTGATGCCCTGCAAAAAGTTAAAGTATTCAATATACATGGCTTATAGGCAAAACTTTCGAGATGAAATTAAAAGGTTTATTTAGTCATGAATGACATCATCTCAAATAAAATGAATTGCAGCTCACTTCTAGAAATATTGCCATACCATGTTGATGCTTACAAGACTCGAATTCGTGCTTTGTTTCATGTTCCTCGCATCAACATTTCAACACCAACTATGCCAAAAACTTTATATCGCGCAGCCCGGACATATACAACGACCAATATTTTAGACTCGACTTGTTTAAGCTATCGCGAAATACGGGTAAAATGAGTATTAAGAATATCAATAGCGCAAAATCACCTGCATCATGAGCATACCCCAACTTAACCTACCTAAAATTCTTATGACCCCCATGTAATTGTTAACTTAAGAAATTTAAATGATATGTTTTAGGAAGAAATCATCAAGCATCAGTCAATTTTCAAATATAATGAAAAACTGGAATTTTTGGAAAAAAAAAAAATCTATATTAATTTAGTGAGACCCTTGCGCTTGATGCTTGCTGCACAGAGATTTTATATTCCATTCCAATTTGGTTGTCTTCAGTCTCAAATCTCCACGTTGTATTATATCTGATAACTGATTGTTCCCCTTAACAATCAAATTGCCCCCTTTGGGGCGTGGGCCCCACGCTGGCAAACACTGTTTTAACGTATTATGATGAATTTAACACTTACTGCTAGCACTACTGCCCGATTCGAAGCTATAATAACATTCGGCGGGTCTCCTACTGGAGTGGCTGTACCTCCAATGTTACTGAAGAGCACCATCGACATCAATATTGGTACAGGATCCATATCCATTACCTCACAAAGTCTGAAAATAGATTTAATTATTTTTAAGTTTTGGCAGAGATAGGAGGTTTATTAAATGAAAAACAAACGCTTCGGCTGAATATCTTTCAGGCCGCTCGTCAAACGGCGCTGTTTAGTTAAAATGCTGTTATTTGAACGGCTTATTAAGGTAGTGGGCTGTGACATAATATATACCGTAACATAGAACGTTTTAACTATATCGCTTTTGTGAGTTCCCTCTGCTATGTAACGCCTTTTCTAAAGGGCCTGATGCCTATAAAATATTATAAAACAATATTGTGAATTTGGGTTTTTTTGATAACTAACTTTTGTGTTTTAATTTTAAATAATGGATATCAAACATGATGAATAATCGAGTCTTTATCAGTCTGGCATTTAATCATTACTAGCCGTGGACCAATGAATTTCTTTTTGTATACAATTAACTAATACGGTAAAGGAAATTATCGTATTTATCTGATCTTTTATGGTATCGTATATATAGTCATAGTCAAAATCATTTATTCATATATGTAACACAATGGACACTTATGAACGTCATCAAAGAAATACATATTAAATGCTTCTAATTTTACATTTACTGCCAGTTCCGTTCTACGCCCTTGATTTGCAAGAGCGTAGAACGGAAGAGAAGAGTTGGCAATAAACTCTCCGCCACTCTTTTTTTTATATAAATTATCGACACATAAATGTATAATGTAGCGCCCCTGGATATCTAATCATTAGATTATCATACCTGATAGTGACAGGTGTCATGAGCAACACAGTGGTGACGTTATCTAGAAATGTTGACAGAAGAGCTGTGATAGCGCATAGAACCGTGATAAGTGGCCATAGCTTGCCTTTAGTTACCTGAAACACATCATAACTCAGAACAAGGTTAAATCGCAAGACAAAAGAAAACGGGGAAGACAAATAAAGAGATGGGAAGATGTGCGAAGAGCAGGGCCACTATGTGGCTACATCAAGCTAGAAACAGAGAAGAGTGGAAGCTGTTAGAGGTCCAAGGACAAGCTGTAAAACAGAAATTAACCGGGGTTATATTATTAGGGTTTATTCTTTTATTTTTAGTGTTAATTAATTAGTACTTCACATTTATGTCTAGTATAAGTATTTACTGCAATAAAGGCTATTATTATTATTATTAAATCGCTATTCGATTGGGGTTCATTCTTTCAGGGATCGGTTAAGGTCTATAAAAAGTTCCTGGTAGTTGTTTTGCGGTGTTTCCTATAAAAACTTGACAGAATTTCAACAAATTCTTGCCACATTTAGTGTCATTTTCTTTCCATCCTTATACAAACTTTCTATTTTATAATAAAAAAGAAAATATATACGCTAATATAAGAAAATATGATTTTTAAGAATTCTTAAAAATTGTGAGATATTTGGCTTTATTCCCTTAGGACCAGACTTAAAAGCTTTAATGTTGGTTATTAAAGGGATGGGAACCCTTAACACATGTATTCTACTAAATAGGGTTCAAATCTTACACATTGAGAAGCATTTTTTTATACTGAATAAACAGATGTTTATTTAAAAAAACTCGATAGGTCAAAGTTGCCTTTTAAAACTTAAATTGTGGCTAAACTAACATTTAACTGTAGACGCTTATGCGGTATGCCTATCAAAAGATTCCTTCGCGTTTGTGAAAATTAAAATGGTATAATTAAAATCACCCGTCACTGGACTGACATCCTTATCTATTAATTAAATAACAATTAACATTAGAGTTATCTTACTGTACATAAACTTATCTATAAGTAAATAAGTCGTCCACGCTTATATGCCTCGTTAAGTATATGGTTAGATTGGTTTAATTCATGTCTCTATATAGAAAATATTTTTTTTAAAATCGTCGGAGTTACGCTCCGAGAGTATATCCAGACGCTCTCTTTGACTGTTGCTTGGCATTCATTCGTTTCATATCAATTAACATTTCATTATTTCGCTTATATTCTATTGTTGTACGCAAATGGTTAATATTGAGTAAAACTAAAATCCTCTATTATTTAAAGCACCCCGATGACCGGTACACGATACGGTTTCTGAACCGTACACATCCCATCATCCTATTTGTCCCTCATTTCAGAAGAACTCGTATGGGCCAAATTCAAATTCAAAAATCATTTAATCATATTGGTAACACATTATACACTTATGACTTGTCAGTAAAGATACATATTAATGCTTCTAATTTTACATTTAGTGCCAGTTCTCAAATCAAGGGCGTAGAACGGAAGAGAAGAACTGGCAATAAACTCTCCGCCACTCTTTTTAATTGCCATGTTTTTTTTTTACACAACGTTTATAAGGAGCTGCAACCATTAAACCATGTTCCACATGACATCTTAAGTTATTAATAATAATAACATAAATTAAAAACAAAGAGTTGTCCTCTATCAGCAGGAGGCATGGTGAAATAGGAGCACGCACTTACATTCTCCTGGGAACAACACGCAAACACAATTAACATCACCGCATACACGAATTCAAGTACGACCAGTCACCACAAGTAGCACCCGTTCACGAGTAAGACGCATGGCCAGCCATCGGCCCCCTCGCCATATTTTAGGGAGACAGACAACCCGACGCATGGACGCCGCCAAAAGCAATGACATTTAAGCGAGCAAAACTCCCTGATATCCAGATTGACTCTGATGAACGAGCTAGGTCAGGTTATCCATAGTTGCTCCTCTCACACTTTGAAATCAATTTTCCTTTAGTTTTACAGTTTATGAATATATTATGTATTTCTTTTCTTTTCGTGTTTCTTATGTTTGCCTATAAGAGCTTGTAACGTTTTAGTTTTGTTCATAAATAAATATTTTGTCATACCTCAAATGTATAAACAGCCAAGAAGTCAAACATCCCAGTTTCCGCCATTATCGCAACCAGAATCATCATGCTGAACAGTAGCAGCAGGGTCTCCACATCCAGCCACGAGATCAGTTCTGGCAGACTCGGTCTTTCCCCAAGTATGGATATCACCCCAAGCGCAGCTGTGGCTATTATGACTGCTGCCATCGTTCGGTTAATGACCTGAAAATTGAAAATTCACTTAGTCGTGCCTAGAAGAACTATATCTAATCGGTATATAAAATTCTCGTGTCACAATGTTCGTTCCCATACTCCTCCGAAACGGTTCGACCGATTCTTTTCTCTTTTTTTTTTTTTTTTTTTATGATACAACACACAAAAATACATACAACCCTTAATTTACATCTACCCTTTAGGATCAACCCCTATTTTTATTTGTTAGTTAAGAACTTATCACTTGAACTCTGAGGTTTATATAGAGAAAAATCACAGAAAAACCTAAAAGTTTTAATTCCGGAAAACCAAACAGTCTCCGGGGTAGCATAGAAAAATGTTCCATGTTGGTATGTTCTGAAAAGGAAGGTTAGGTAAAATCACATTAAGGAGAAACGAAGTTCGCGGGGGCAGCTAGTTATTAATATACGAGCCTGCTGTCTCTCGATACCCTTATTGTTTTGCCGGGAATAGAACCCAGAAATTTGGCTATGCGACAATTTTTAGCTTAGTTCAAGGATTTTCTTTTGAAAGATTGGATTAGGATGTCTCATTTCAAATTAGGCTTACTAATCACTATTTCAAATACGACAGCGGCTACTGAACTTCGCTGATCGTCGATCAACCTTTTTTTTTTGTTGGGGAATGAATTTACAGACTCCCTCACCGGGAATACGGGTGTTTCGTTAAGATAAGGTGGATGGACCCCCTAAATCCCAACAATAAATTCGCTATAGACAGGCCCCGTGCCCCCATCAAGAACCCAACTTTAAACTCGTGTATATCTGATGGCATTTTAATGTTTATTTTTAAATTACCAAGTCACCTAATTAGTCGTACTGTTTGTATGTTTAGTGTTATACCATTGAAATGAATCGTAAAATGATTATCTCCTATGCCAAATGAACATTGAACCTTAATTCAATACATTAAAGTTTATAATTGCGTGTAAATTTTTTGTAAACATAATTTTATTGCACTATTCACATGTAATTATTATCTCATTTCCTCGTTTAAGATAACTGAACTTTGATATTACTTTAATTAGGTTCTATACACAAACTGTTATCTTTAACTAAAAATTTCTATGAAGTCACGTAAGCCCGAAGTGCCGGAACTTTGGAACTACAATAGCTATCCTGACTTTTAACAGATTAAAAAAACGGAAGGAGGTTATAAATTCGACGTGAATATTATGTGCATAGTCACTCTGTATGGTCGATGTCAAATGCGGACCTTCACACCCTTTTATAATTTTTGGGGATTATTGACCCCCCCCCCTCTCCATGTAACGCGCCGTAACGTTTTTCTATACCCAATAGTAAAACGTTTCGTGACCTTCCAGTGACTCTTTATACCTAAAAGTTACCATTATGTAGTGTAAAGTACTGGAAAGTCGAAAATAATAATAACAATAACGCGTAATTCAATCCCCGCCCCGCATCGTAACGTTTTACAAAAGGAAACCCCCCCAAATTCGTTAAATAATACTTGAACGCTCCCTAAATCACGAACTCCTTATACATTAAATCTCTACTATACAATGGATATTACAATTATTGTAATTTAACACTTTCACTCTACAAAAGAAACAAATTATAATTTTAGGACAACTTAGGAATTGCACGGGAACAACTAAGCTATATTGAAATAAAAATTCCAAATCCCACAAATCAGGAGACTAATAAACATGGTTGTAAGCTTATCAAAATCCCTACGGTTTAAAAAAGATGATATCAAAACATATACAGCTAAAAGGGAAAAGAGATTCTATAAAACGAATACTCCAATAATTGTTGAGTTATCATCCTCATTCTTAAATCAGATTTACTAAAATCTTTAAAACCTACAACATCAAAAATAAAGAAAACTCACGAACATCTGATACTAAAATGAAGAAACTCAGTGTTTATCTCCGAGCAGCTCACTCAAAGCCTACTACACTTTCTCGCTCCGATCTAGCTAAATCAAAAACTACAAGTTCTTTGGACTTCTTACGGACGTGTTTACCTAAGAAAGAATGAAAACACCCCGTAATTAAGGTCAAAACAATCACAGGTACACAGCCTCACAGCATGACTCTTTAACTATTGTCTTTTTTTGTAAAAATTTTTTCTTGTTATCCCATTATTAAACAGTTTTTTCTAAAAACAATATCACAAACCTTACACTACATATACTATTTACACTCTCCTATACACTCACATATATTAAACACTATTCTATCATCTCACTTATCTCATGGCTCTCTACAAACACTCACAAGTATTATAAACATTTATTCAATCTCGGCTTTACTGCGAATTTCTTATCCCAATAAATTATAATTTCTCGAAGTGTACGGAAAGTATCTGGTTACTCATTTATGGATATCAACACATCTTCATTAATACTACAAATACCCAATCTATTCCTACTTAAATGACTTTTCAACACAACCATCAAAATCGATTTCACGATAATATCACAAAATATAAGAAGCATTTACAATAATTTTGATGATCTTTTAATAACTTTATCTAGTTCAAATTTCAAGCTATTATCACTGACCGAGATGGATCACCCCACAACCTATACCCCAAATGGATAACTACACTCACTTCGTTACAAGCCGCCATCTAAATCGTAGTGATGCGTAGTTGTCTACATAAAATGCAACCATAAAACTATCGTTCAAAATAAATTTAAAACTCATCTTCTTACAATCAAAGTAGGTAACTATACCATTTGTGTATTTATCGCTCCCCATCTAACCTTAACCTGAAAATTTTATAGATTCATTAAATAGTCACTTAGTAACTTTACAAACTCAGAATAACATTATAATAACAGGAACATCAACATAAATCTAATACAAAAATCCATAAACATCTCAGGAGCGCTCGAACCGATTACATTACCTCAATATGCTAGCCATGCATGGCCTGCTCCCGGTCATACACTGCCTACTCGAGATAGCAATTGCATAGATCATTTCATACTAAAACTTATAGGTGCATAGGTACTGTGCGTCTATTACCGTTATTGATACTACAGTTACTGATCACAAAATGTTATTCTTAAAACTATCCTACCTCCTAAGTCAATTACAATACCTCGAAAATTAAATCTTCAATCAACATGGAAGGCCTTTAAGTTATTTAAAAACACAACATAAATATCTAATTTACTATAATAACCCTATAATCTTAACTAATAAATTAATATCTATTTTAAAGCAGTGTATTCAATCCAATACTATCACTAAGCTATCCCAATAGGGAACCCTTATTAAACCATGGATTACCTTAGGAATTGTTAGATGTATTCGTAATAGAAATGCTATCAACAAATCCAGCTGATCCTCATATAATTCTTAAAATTACATACAGGAGATATAGGAATTTCTGCAATAGTTTAATAAAGAAAGTCAAACTAAATATGAAAAAGAAGACCTTGCCAAGAGTATAAAAACCAAAAACTTTGTGGAAGAAAATAAATACCCTCACTTATCTAACCAACCTAAAACCAAAATCTAGAATTACTAAATTTAAATGTTTCTCCTCAAAAATCGGTTAATTTGGTAAAATTTTTTTCAAACATTGGTAAAAACTTAGCTAAAAGATAATTCAGTTACGACGTTACATAATAGAACAGATGTGATTAGACCCAACTTTCCCAGGTCTCTCTTTTGTGCTTCTAAAACTGACCCTCATGAAGTATACCTACTATTTGAGTCTCAAAACTGACAGTGCTCCTGCTGGGATGGTATAAACCAAGTTTCTTAAATATACTAGGGAGCTAGTTGTGCCCATAATTACTCATTTGGTTAATCTCTGCTTCCACAGGAGTGTTTCCACCTCCTAAAAAAGCAATTATTACACCTGTGTACAAAATGGTAACAGAGAAGATGTTTCAAATTATCGCCCAATCTCCTTCTCACTCCATATCAAAAGTACTTGAAAAATTAATTAATAAAAGACTAATTACCTACCTCCAGAAGTATAGTCTACTTTCGGACTCACAATTCGGTTTTAGACAGGGTCTGTCAACCAAATGCAGTTACCTCACTATCTTTCATATTGTTAATGAAGTTGATAAAGGTAATAAATGTATCACAGTTTTTATCGACTTAAAAAGGCATTTGATACGGTTTCTGTCCCTATTCTGTGCAGAGACTAGAGAACATTGGTATTAGGGGTATTCCACTCACATTGTTCGCTGATTACCTCAGTGAACGAAAGCAAGCAGTTAAAATAGGTCAATACATCACAACAATCTGACGTCACATATGGGGTCCCAAGGTAGTGTTCTGGGGCCGACCTTATTCTTAATCTACATAAACAGCTTATGCGATTTAAGAATTGATAGTGGGAAAGTCTACTCCTACCGATACACTGCTGTTGTCTTCACTGGGAAAACTATTGACTCGGTGCTCACTCGAAATAGGGCTTTCCAAAATAGATAACTGGTTAAGAGAAAACTTATTATCATTAAACGTAAGTAAACTAACTACATTTTCTTCACTAAATACAATACGCCCAACCTCAAAGATCTAAAATAAAAATACATAACTTACACCAGAGTAAACTGTACTTATATAAATAAAGTTCATCACACTAAATATCTAGGAGTGGTAGTTGATCAAAGAATGTCATCATGACACCTAGAACAAGTTATAAGTAGGATTCGAAAGCTTATTTGGACATTTAAAACTCTAAGCACATCCTGACACTCTACTAATACAGATTACACATCGCTGGCTCAGTCAATTTTAGTGTACTGTATCCCAGTTTGGGGGTGCTACAAAGATGAAGTTCCTGGATCTGAGAGGGCACAAAGAATTTTACTAAAAGTAATGATGTTTAAGCCTTATAGATTTTCCACCTCTGATCTTTATGCCTCTTGTGGTGTCTTATCGGTCAGGCAACTGTACATTTTTGCACTACCTTAAGATTGCACAAGTCTCTTAAATATGATGGTCGCAAACTGAGCAAAAACAAATATACTTTGCTCCTTTGAGAGATCTAAATCAGTTTTCTATGAGACAATTTCATCCAATCTAAACTTTATAATAAATTAAATAAAATATTAAATATATAACATTAATAAACATGATGTAAAACGTCTCTAACATCCTAAAAATTTAGCTATGAAAACTAACCTTTGTAGTATCATGATTACACTATAATTAGTCAATTCTTAGTCATGAAATTCATTCTCATAACAACACACACACACACATACACATACACACATATTCATTATTCACATTTTAACCTTAGATTATGTTTAGTAAATTGTAAAATTGTAATACTTAGCTTAGCTATACGTGTTAAATTAAATTATAATTAGTTGGTACACCTATGTAATGGAAGAGCGGGTTCTCCTAACACAAGTGCTTATGGCTAAAAGGAGGCCCAATCACTTATCAGCTATTGTAAAATCCTTGAGATAACGAATAAAATTCTTTATTATTGTAATTTAACACTTTATAGTAAATTTTACCAATAATTATATTTATTAAAAGGATTGTATGCAATTTGGATATGGTTCTCTCAATGTTCCTAAACGGTGGAAAAACTCAATTTTGAAGACTGTATATTGGGAGTTACAGAGTACATCAGTGTTGCATCTCAATTGAGAACATTTCTTTATTAGTTAACCAAAGCCAAAGTCAAAAATAATTTATTCATGTAGGTAACACAATGTGTTATGAACGTTAAAAAAGAAATATACATTGAATGCTTCTAATTTTACATTTACTGCCAGTTCTCAAATCAAGGGCGTAGAACGGAAGAGAAGCACTGAGGCGGGGTAACAGTTTCCGATATTCCATCAGCGTCTGCTGCGCAGTGCGCTACGCGCCCAACTTGTTGCCAACTCCGGTTCGAAGGTCGTATTGGCATAATGGCGTCACCGCCAATTTTATTTTGCGTTTACAGTAGAACTTGGTACAACCTAGTGTTAATTATTCCCATAGAAATCCATTGTTTGTAAGTTGTTTACATAGACGAACACAAAGATACTATTGAGACTAACAGAATTGTTTCATTGCGTGAATTTAATTCTTATGAAGCATTTTATTTCTATTTAAATACTAGAGAACAACGATTTTTTATTTTTGAAGTTATACTTACTTCTTTAGGCGCGTTATGAAAAATTTATGAGAGTGAAATTTTACAATGCGCGCGCACCCGTGACACAAAATTAGGAGTGTGATTATAGCGTGCGCGAGCGAGATAGGAATAAGACAATCTACAAGTAAAAAGAAATAGAATATGCGTGAAGTTCGTATGCCAACAATTTTGAATGACCATAATGACATTTGTCATTTACCTTTTAAACAAATAAAGGAGTTTTAATTATTTTTTCAAAGAAATTTAGCAATGCTTTTTGAATTATATATAATCAGAAGTGATTTAAATTGAATATTTAAACCAATACTAATTAATATTTGTGAAAAAACTGTGCTCATCAACCTTCCTAAGTGCTTCAATACAATTGAGGTTAACTATCCGTATGTATTATTATTATTATCGAGTAATGTTTTGATTAAAAAATTAACCACATTGTTTAGTCAAAACATGTAATTTTTCTGATTTTATCTAGCAAATATAAGGAAAAGAGACAAAAAACAATTGATGAATCAGTGTAACTGCACTAAATTGAATACAAAAAAAGAGTTTTCATCTTATCGCTGCGAAACATCAAAAACTGGAGGTGGAACAAAGCCAAACTATTTTTAATATTGCCAAAGAAGTATAACTTCTTACGCGCGTACAAAAGTAAACGGACCCTTTTTTTTGTTTACATAACAATATTGGTGTCGGCGTACAAAAACTTATATCATTCAAATGAAATTCATAGAAATTGTCTGGAGCGTTCGAGCTTTTCACTATGGACAGTATCGTATACTTGACGAAACTATCTAAAGCAAGGCAATGGCCTTTCATATGGAAACATTATATCTAAAAATAAATAAACAATTTAATTTCAGCACTATCATCATCAATTTACCTCAAAAATAATCAGTACATACAGTCCACAGAGCAGGATACAAGCGTAAATCACACCAGTTGCGGCATCGATTGGATCAATTGTGTAAGTAATTGTAAACGGCGCGCTCTCATTGGCCGTTGAGGTCATACGTAATGAAATATCTGCGCTGCTATTCGTCGAAATTTTGAGTACGGACGATCTTGATTCGCCGATTGAAAAATCAAAGTCCCCGTCTTGGAGTACGATTGGCCATGGTTTTGAGACCTGTAAAGATTTTGTTTAATTAATCAGTGACTTAATTTCGGTATAAGGTTTCGAGTGTGAAGAACGTTAAGCAGCCGAGAAGGACATCTTGATCACATCAGCCTGGGGCATTTGACATTCATTTTTTTTTTTGCAGATTGCCTGCCCCGTGCCCCAAAGGAGGCGAATTTAAAATATAGATGCATGCATTATCATAGAATACAAATCTGAGCCTGACATTATTATTTAATTTCCACTTTGTAATTATGTAATTTAAAATATAATAAAAAATAACATATAAAAATGGTTAAGGCATTAGAGAGAGAGAGATATATATACATCTCATTCCTTAATCCATTTTCTTTATAAGTGATCAGCCGGGTCAGTGCTTGGCACTAGAACTACGCGCTGGTTTCCTTACGATGTTTCCTTTCACCGCATGCGCAAGTGTTAATAGAGTTGTTCGAAATTCCAGCCGTAGCACCTCGACGTCCGCCGTCGTTCCTCAAATGTTTTATTAGGCAGTTTCTGCCGCGCACAATCCTCTATGTGGAACCAGCTGCCCACTGAAGTATTTACGAACCAATTCGACTTAGGGTACTTCAAGAAAAGAGCGTAAAAATTCTTAAAAGGCCGGCAACGCGCGAGCCCTCTAGCTTTGAGTGTGTCCATGGGCGCGGCATCACTTAACATCAGGTGAGCCTCCTGCCCGTTTGCCCTCAGGATTCACACGACTTTAACGCAACAAGGAAGAATTGTAACAACTATTGCCTAATAATACAAAAATTTACTACTTACCATACCAGTACTCATTTGCTCCAACCATACAACAAATTTATTGGACTTTTTGAATTCACTTCCATTTATTTTATCTTCAGATTGTTCTGTCAAAAATGGTCCTTTCAGTTTTAAGTGAACTGCTAAGTCATTCCTGGACACGTTCAGGGAGAAAGCTAAAACAATTAATAATAATAATAAGTTTATTTGCCTCTTCACAGTATTGTATTTTACGTATATACTCGTATATAGTAATATAGACTTAATAATAATTAGGAGGACGACACTGAAACTAACAGCAGGCCTTTGCCAAGAGGCACACCGAACTCCGAGATATTATACTGAAAATATATTAAAGTTCATATATATAAAAATCACAGAGTTTCGCAATATAAAGGCTATACTATTATTATTATATAATATAGACTATAGAAGTTCTGTGATCACAGGTCACCCTTCATCGTCAGCCTTGCATCGCGGACAGAATATATATGAAGATAACTACATGACTTAACTAAAATAACAAACAAAATAACACAAAAGCATGAGTGGTTGTCGGTCTCTTCCCCCTAAATCTGAATGAAAGACTAATAATGCTTAGATTATTTTAATAACAGTAACTTACTTTTCGTCTCCCCAGGATATAACGCTGATTGCCTCGTAATATGCTCCTTCTCATTGTACATCAGGAAGGCAAGCGTGAAGAACGTCCAACAGCCCAGAAGGAAGGACATTTTGATGTAGTGACCAGTCTGGGCCAACTGAAAATCATATTAATATTAAAATTAAGCAAACAGCCCAAGTCGAGAGTTCTTTTTTTTTCTATAATGGACGCAGAGCAAGGTTAGGAGATGCTAATGGCTAGTAGTTGACAAATATGACATATGACATTTATTATATTTATAACATAGTATATAATAATAAAATTTCCCAATCGATGGATTCAGAGATCTCGCAAATCACTTAAAAATTACGCTAGCTGAATTGGATTTCGAATCTACAGAGGCCTTACTACGTATTTGGCATAACTCTGAGGTGCCTAACACTAGCACGGGTACTGTGTTAAATGTTACAATAAAATACCTTGTGACGTTTTAAAACTAAATGAACGATAATTTAAATGTTTTATTAAAAGTACACTTTGTAAACAAGCATATTACAAATTAGAGGATTATATTCAAGATAAGAATGCAGATAAGAATGAATGGAAACATGCTGGTCCTGCTCCATAGGACAATCATAGAGCCTGGACAAAATCAAATTGGTTGCTGATTTTTTGCTTTAACATATTTTTTTTTAAATTTATAATGCTACAAATATAATTATTTTATTTTATCTCACACACTGTTTTGTTGTGTTTTTTTATTATTTTTATTACTCTTTAATGTTAATATTCTACGGTTTCGATATTTGTAAATATGTGAGGAACATGTATACTAACTTTTTTAGTATAGTAGTTTTATTCTAAGAGTACATTGTCTTCACATATAATTATTTAACTTATGTAAACAAAATATTGTAAACCTATTTTAAAAGAGTAAGTATGGAGTTTCTTGCCCATTCTTCTCCACACGAAACTACCTTTTGGAAGGGGCAACTAGAATCTTCTTTATATTTTATTTGACGTTCATAGGTGCCATTTTAGGTGTTCTAATTGAAATAAATGATTTGACTTTGACTTTAACACACAGCGCACGCTTATAGCAACTCTTAGACACTCTCAAATACATGCGCACACACACCCATTCACACACTCACGCATTCACGCATACTTAATCTCTTATAAGTTTTTCGTTAGTTGTAACACTAAAACTACTTTTGCTCAAAAAACTGTTTTAAACATGTACTAATTGTTATCTAGTTACCCACAACAGGGTCTCCCAAGTGTGAGGACTAGCGATTTATGAATTTTGTCACAACCTATTTATAATGAATAAAGTTTTATTATTATTATTAGTCAAAGAAACAGACACGGAAATGTGTATGCCCCATGCGCTTAAGGAAGATTAGCACAGGTTATAATAAAATATAGATGTTCTGTATAGAATCTATGAAAAGTCATCTATGAATTTTCATAGATTCTATTCCATTAAATATATGGAAATTTTTCCATTTACATAATTAAAAATGTTTCACCAATTTATATACTAAATATTTCCAATACAAAAAACTCAAAACACTTGTCTTATGACATTTTAATTGTTTATATAATCAGGTTACAAAATCAATTAAAAACAAAATTAATGTTTCGATACATTAGTGAACTAATTATAGATTTGCTACTTCGCTACAAATTTGCTTGTTTACTTAGAAGCTAAACTTCTTATACATTTGTCTACCGAGTATCAATATATTTCAAATTGCATATTCAAGGTCAAAAATGTTACATACCTTACTTTGTTTCTCTGACGATTTGTGACCGAGGCTGCAAGAGATAAAAATTAAAACATCAATTGTGCTTCTATTTCTGAAGTGTCATTTGCAAAGTATAATAGAATTCATTAATATTATTTTCAAATGCCAAGAATATTTTATTTAAGTTTCACGATACAGCGTCTTAAATGCCTCAAATAATAAACATTTATTTTCCTAGTAAAGTTATATTTATCTTTGATAATACTTTCTTTCTTTATATATAGTAGTCTTACGCATATGTACGTAAACATACTCAAGTATATAGTAAACATCTTCAAAACAGCTGATCCGATTTTAATGAAACTTGGGCTGTTCCCAGCTAGCAGCAGTTTCATTAGAATTTATTTCAATAAATATAACTTTAGGTTTACGAGAATTTTGTAGACAATATACGAAATTTAGCGTATGTGCTTGGAAGGCAAAATAGTACAATTATACTCAAATGTTATATTCCAAAAATATCATACACATAAAGGTCAAAATAACCAAAAATTTTTCAAGTCAAGTTCAATTTTTGGAAACCCATCTATAATTTTATGTACCTCTCATCATTGGGCTTCTCATCAATACCATCGAAGGCTTGGCCATCCTCCTTGTTGTTGTTGAGATGAGGAGCAGATTTCACGAGGGGCAACCTCTTCGACTCCCGCGCACCATTCTGTTCTAATGGTATATCTGATTGGGCTAAAAAATAACAATTTTAGAATTATTTAACTAAAACTAATCTGACTAGAACAAAAAATTGTCTTGTTTTTGTTGTCAAAAAAAAAAAAAGGGCGTGGCTATCCGAAGTTCAAGGGCAAGTAGAAGAGGAGCAAGTGAAACCTTCAACATACTGACTGCACAGAAAAAGAAACATGTAAATATATCAGATATATTATGCAATAAAAATATTTTATTACAAATTATTTATTTAAAACGGTGTTTTCAAATCTTCAGGGGCTGCCCCACGTAGTAGTGCTAAAGATTCCAAAGAGATGGAAATATGAAAACATAAAATAATATAAAAACTAAAGCTTAGCTATTTGGAGAAGGAACTGCGCCCAGATTTTGCTGCATTATCACCAAATGGCAGCAGCATTTGAGCAGTGTTGGCCTAGTGGCTTCAGCGTGCGACTCTCATCCCTAAGGTCGTAGGTTCGAACCCCAGCTGTGCACCAATGGGCTTTTGATTCTCTCAATTCTTTCGCTCGAACGGTGAAGGAAAACATCGTGAGGAAACCGGCTTGAAGGCTGATCACCTACTTGCCTATCAGAAACAAATTATCATGAAACAGATACAGAAATCTGAGACCTAAAAAGATTGTAGCATTGATTTTTTATTTATCACCTAATGGCAATGATAAAGCACCGTAAAAAACCGATACTAACAGTCAAAAAAAAAGACAGTATTTTTTTTAATAATTTTTTTATTAAAAGAGAGTATTTTTCAAGGACCAAGGAAACTTGTATGCTCTATAAAATTCTCGACTCGCAGTGTTTGTTAACAAACTCCGAAACGGCGTGACCAAATTGTATGAAATGTTTTGTGGTCGGTAGGTCTGAGAGTGTTCAACAATTTTATAACCCTTTAATCAATGTGACCAACCCGAGGATTTTTAAAGTGAAACTTCGTTAGGCACATGAGGGTAAAATTTTTACGGAACGTCACAAAGATGTGCAGCGTTTTTGTCAAAGAAAAGGGAGAGGGCGATTGAGACTGAGAGAGAGTGAGAAAGGTGAATTATCTTATAGAAATTCTATTAGAATAATTCTATTATTCTAATTCTATTATTAATATTTTATAAAGAGAATTTATAAAATATTAGTATTTTAAATTTTATGAAAAATAATTTATTGAAATCTCAAATGACGAATTGTAAATTAAATAAAACGCACTAGATAAAGAAATACACATATGCAATTTAAAAATTAATTTACAATTATTATAATTGGTGACGGATCAACAGTGACTGCAGCATCTTACGCCTGAAGACATGGAAGTCATTAAATGGATCTGCTTCGCAAGTTCAAAGCGTCGTTAACTGCAGTTCTATTTAGATTAGCATTACCGCCGACGTTGGTCCTCACTGCCCGAACATAGAAAAGAACGGATGTGTTTTTCTTTAAGAGGAAATTCACTTGAACTAAAATATTTGGATATGTAAAATTTTGAAAACAAAGATAATGTCAATCATCTATCTTCTATCTTAATATATATAAATTACGCGTCACGTTGTTTGTCCGCTATGGACTCCTAAACTTCTTAACCGATTTCAATCAAATTTGCACACCGTTAGCAGTTTGATTTAATTTAAAAGAGAGGATAGCTTACATCTCAATTTATACCCGCAATATTTTTTAATTACAAAATATTTGTTTATTATTTGATAGTCACAATTCTAACGGATGGCGCGCGCTGTGTTGAAAGTACCAACGTTTCACATAAGCTACAATTTCATGGCATAACCACCAAAAAAGCATGGTGGTCCCCATGACTGGTGTTCTCCTACCGTTTCCCTTAAATAGTTTACTACTATGTAATATAAGAAAAGCCTTACTCAAACTCAAAATATCTTCATTCATATAGGTAAACAAGTACACTTATGAATCGTCAGTTAGTTACATTAATTGTATATTTACATTTACTACCAGTTCGCAAGTCAAGGGCGTAGAGCGGGTAAGAAGAACTGGCAAAAAACTTTCCGCCACTCTTTTTAACAATTTTCTTTTTAGTCATACAAATTGTTTGAACTGGAGCAAATTAATCCCAAGGATTAGGATCATTTAAGTATTCCTCAAATTTATAAAAAGCTTTATTGATTAATTTTCGTTTAACGAGGGCTTCGAATTCAACGCTTAGCCGGTCTCTTAGTATAAATATATAAGAAGGTATATAAGTATATTGTTTTTATTATTATGATATTATTTATAAAAACAATATTTGCAGCTCATGCCAAATGACTATGATTGCCAAATATTTGTCTACGTATATTGATATTTTAATTTGTTTGCTGATGTAATTTCATCAAGTATGTTCTTGATGTGTCTAAAAAACTTATAACCAAGTAGGTATCTATCTTCATTAGAAACTTACAAACTGTATTAGCTTCTATAATACTAAAGATAGATGCATACAATCTATAACACACGAGTTGGGTTAGTTTCGCAAAACCAGATTGAACCGGTTCGAAAATAACTTCGAGCTTGGAGCTGTGACAAGTTTCGTATAAACAGATATGCGATGCGCTGTTTTGCGCTTTTAACTGCGCAGACATTCACATTTGGTTGAACAAGAAATCTTTAAAGCAACATCTAATTCATAGTGATTTACGTTAATTTAAATTGTCGTTATTTATCTTAGAATCCCTCCTCCGTATGCGACAAGTTACACGCAATTGTTCCACGTGCCTCGAACTCGAATGTTTTATCTAACTGTAACACTAATTAAGAGGATATTGGTATTTTCCACCTCACCAAAGAGGATGTGAGCAAATATTTGAAGAGGTGGGAACACTTTGATTTTGTTTAAACAGTAGCACTATATCTTTTTCTTTAAATCGTTTATCGTTTGTTTCATGTTAATTTTTTTTCATACTCATGTTTTCTGTTTCATACGAGTATATATATTGTTTATCTATGTAATCTGTTTTGGCTTTTTATATTTTCTAAGTGTTTTGTTTTATAATATATATGTATGTTTGCTGTAAGATTACTAAAAAATAAATAAATAGTAAATAATTCGTTGGTTTGTATATATCATGGGGAAATGCGTTGACGCATTATCCGGATAAATGAAGGTTATATGAGGGACTCCGACTGAGCAGTGTTTCCCCACGTGGGGCCCACGCCCCACAGGGGGCCAATTTGATTGTTATTGTATAAAAAATATATAATATTAATAAATTGTGAAAATTTATTAATATTATTCGGAATTTGAATTTCAGTTTATTATGTTTTGAAATTTTCGTTAACAATTTTCTAGTCATTTCTTCCTCAAATATAATTTAAGTATACCTTAAGTGAAATTAATTTTTTTTAACATTAAAAATTATGTGTAGGTAACATAAGAATTTTAAAAAGTTTAAAGTGGGGCATGGGACAAAAAAGGTTTGAAACACTGTACTAGAGGATATTTGCACGTCAGATATTTCACACTGCAGTATCAGGATTTGGCACCTTAATTAAAAAAGGACACTGTTTAAGAGGCATTTTGTAGAACAAAGGACGATTTTTAATGGCAAGTTTGCCGTTACCATATACCAACTTTATTTTCAGGTAGTTCTTTTTAGCTAAAACTCGAATCTAATTACTAGGACCAGTTCAACAATTATTTAATAACATTGTACAAACAAATTTATTCCGCCATTTTTGTCAAGTGTTAATTGTCATTAATGTGACATAACCTTCAAATTAGAAATAATATTTATCTTGACGTGCGAAGGGCTTCGCCAAATATGGCTTGGTATAATTCCATAATATACAATAGACTTGACTAAATTGTATATTATGTGCTTGAAGGGCCTTTAGAGTAAGACCGTTAATATAAATTCAGTGTTTCACTCGTAATTTTTTTCCTTACTCGGGTTGCCTGGAAGAGATCGCTTGTTCGAAAGCCGCCCGTTGCATCCCAAATAATTTGTGTTATTTGTTATTCTTTAAATGTAACGAAGTTTATATACTTAAAAATTAATAAAGGTACCTTCAAGAACAGTTAAAAGCTTTTTCGTAGAAATGTCTGATTTCCGATGGTATGGCTTTCAATTCAGGTGAGCCTCCTGCCCGTTTGCCCACTGTTAAATATAAAAAGCATTCCCCACATTAGTGCACTGATTTCCTATCGACTTTATTCTTCAAGCGGCATAAAATAACAAAGCAATGAAAAACTTAAATAAACTTGGATTGGATGAAGTAGAATCTAAATTTGAATATATAATTATTACGGTAAACGTACAATGATATTATATGTAAAAATTATCAAGATATACTGTAAATATTTGCACGCAACTACGCAACCGTACTGATATAGAATGGGGATTTTATCACGTTTATTTAATCGCCTTATTTGGACACAGTAGACCTCTTCTTTTAGTGCCTCTCTATTATTGGAGGTCCGCCTTCAGTCAACCGCAAATCAACATAGGGCCACTCTCTCTTTATCGTATACGAAGCCAGAACAATTAGAAAACTAGAATAATAAGAGTAGGCAATTCTCTTCCACTTCTGTAAGGTTTCTGTAATAAACTTTAAAAAAAGCAAACCTTTATAGGTCTGGGCCTCAGATTTCTATATCTGTTTCATGGTCACTTGTCAATCTAATAGGCAAGTAGGTGATCAGCCTCCTGTGCCTGACACACGCCGTCGACTTTTTGGGTCTAAGGCCGGTTTCCTCATAATGTTTTCCTTCACCATTAGAGCGAATGTTTAATGCGCACATAGACAGACACTCCATTAGTGCACAGCCCTTTATGAAATAAACTTAAATATATATTGATAAGAAAAATTTTCTTTAAAATAACCGATATTTTGCGACTAATTTAAATAACCACGTAAAACACGATGTAGTTTCAAACATAAATGTAATATACAAATCTCCTTCGACATGTATAGATGTTATGTAATAAACATCTTATGTATTATTTATGACCATTTATGAATCATTAAACGGTATAATTCTTTATAAAACAATTCCACATGTACGCATT